AAAGGAATATATTTGATCGACTTTCCTTTGTGAGATGTTATGTAAATGTAAAAGACAGATCAACAAAGGGCACAATAATTGTTACATGCTACATTGGCTACATGCATTGTGGTGCAGATGGTGCATGCTCTTTATCAACCTACATATTGATTGTTATCACAGTAATATTTCCTCTTTAAGTCACTTCCATAGTTAAAGTCAATTAAACAGCAGAGAGATTTGTTGAATATACAAAACTCTAATTTCTTATTAAGTAAGTAGTAGTAAGTAATCAATTATATATTGCACTGCTTTTTTTCATACTGTATTCGGACCATATAAAATATGGGTTCATTAAACATGTGGGTCAGTTATTCTGGAGACAGTTGATTTACTGAGTCTCATTCCCAGGTTGTCAAATACCATCACTTTGGGTTGCCATAGTGTCTGTATTTGATGACCTGGGAATAATAATAATCAGCTATCTTTCACCAGAATGACTGACCCCTCCTTTAATTATATAAAAAAACGACAAAATGATACAGTTTTTATTGCGCCATCCTAAATGTCTAAGGGCCTTGAAAGAATTGATGATCAATAGTAGTGACGTTAGGGCGGATAATAGCCATAACATTATGACCACCTGTCTAATATTGTGTAGCTCCCCCTTTTGCTGTCAAAACAGCCCTGACCCAATGAGGCATGGACTCGCTAGAGCTCTGAAGGTGTGCTGTGGTGTCTGGCACCAACATGTTAGTAGCCGGTTCAAGTTCAGCATGGACCACAATGACTGTTAGCTTGAGAGATGCCAGTTCACCTCCTGGACACTGCCAAGGTGCCCTTGAGCAAGGCACTGAATCCCTAACACCTCGTATGTGTGTATAATGATAACAATGCAGCGAAAACACTGACTTTCCCCAAAGTGGGATTAATAAAGTAATTCTTCTCTCTTCTTCTAATTTTACAACACAGTCCATTAACTCAATTTGTTTTTTATAAATCCAAAGGCTGTAAAATTATACTTGTTTTTTTATCTTGATGCCTTACAATTGTTGATTATTTTTTCCATGCAATGTAGACTTTGTTTATTGTGGTATAATGTATTCGTACTTGTTTGTTTATGTCAAAAAACATTTCTCGCTTTCTGAACTGAATGACCTGAATGACGTTTATGTGTACTGTTGTAAAAAATAAAAAATGTATGTTGTGTTAAAGGTTAAAGCATATCAAAACGGTTTGTCTTATTTAAAGCTCTTTTTGTCTCCCGTGTAAGAAGACATCAGATGTGTGCTGTAGTAAAACAGTTTGGAGCAGTTTTGAAGTGGGTCAGAGTAAATCCCAGTTGTGGTTCCTGCGGTGTCGCTGGTTTATCTAAGCTGACAGACTTTCTGGATCAACGACCAAAACCCACTGGAGCATCACCAACTCGCTCTTTATCCATCTTTTTTTTATAAGAGATTGAGCCTGTCAGTCTCTCTGTCTGCCTAAATGTACAGGAATCTGACCTGGCAGTATTGCTGTAAGGGCACAGACTTCTTGCAAATATAACCTCATAAAGACACATAAGCCCATAACCGAGGATGACTCAGAACTAACTTTGCAAGATATGGAATAAATTGTCTAATAACTGTGTTCAGATATATAGCATCAATTTATTTTCAAACCAAAATGAGTTGTGAGCATCTTTGCAGGGAGATCGGTCCTTTCGTGTGTATTTTTTTTCATTAACATGCTTTAAAACATTTTATTTTGTTGTTGTTGTTGTTGTTGTTGTTGTTGTTGTTGTAAAAGTCTACAATGTCTATCCTATTCCTTACCCTCTCTAAACGTTACTGCTGCCTCAACCAACATCCCCTTTCCTATATTGTACAGCCACACACAAAGTTATGGCATCAGTGAGGGTATATTTTAGAAAACATTAGGAAAAAACGAAAAGAATCTTAAAAGGGAATTCATCAAAGAGATTGTAGCTAAAAGTTGCAGTGATCTTCTAAATGCTGTAAAAATGTAAAAAGTATCATTGAAACAGGTTATATCCACTTTAAAATCTGATAAGGACTGCCCTCTACTGGATGTATTGTGGCAGTGCAGTCACTGTATCATTATGCACTGTTACTGCAGACAATGTAGACATATATACATTTGTTAAACACAGCCTTCATTATTTGATATGTAAAACATCCTGGAATCCAAACAGAATTATTAATTATAACATTTTATTAGCATTTTTGTTTGGACTCCAATAAGTTTATAAAACACAAACTATGACCTCTCTTTTACCACTCCTGCTTTATAACATGCATCTTCAGAATACAACACTTATACATAATACCTCCATTGGAGTGTTTTCGAGCTAAAAAAGAAACAGGATACAGCAACACAAAACAAACAAATATAGCACACAATTTGATTTAATCAAGTTATAGTTGAGTATGTTGGATACATTGCACAGTTCTGCGAGAATCCCACCCCATATGTTTAATAATCTAATCACTGAACCTATAGACATTCAGTGGGGGCACTGCTTTCTGCCCTGTCCATTTTAATAATACCAATACTAGTCGCTAAAATCTGATTCTAATAGCTCTATGAATCCACAAGATGGCAGTATCCCCCATACTTTAAAAAGGACATTAACTACTACCACCACCATTATACTGGATTACACACATAATACATTTAATATGACATGCCTGTAGTCCAAAGAGGTATTATAAATGACATGATAAGCTTTAACATAATTGATTTGCACTGCTGACAAATTTACCAAATACATAACATTAAACCATTTAATGCTACCCCACTGATCTGGGACGATGATGCATTAATTAAACTACACATGATGAGTTATTACAATCTGAACTTTAACCATATTTCTGTATGCAACAGGCTACCTACACTTAGTAATATGACTGACGAAGACACACGGACAACTCTCATGACACAGACAGCCAGCAGTGTGGGAGTGAGAGAGTGCGGAGGGCAGAGGGTGCATGTGTGATGCCCATTTAAGGTCTCTACCTAAACCTGAAGAGCAGCCTCGGAATAACTGGCATACCACACAATATGATAACCGTGGGCTCAACACGAACCGTCAGGAAGGGAAAGAGGGAGCAGTGGAGACAGAAGGCAGATAAGTTAGGAAGAAACAGACTCTACAAGTGTAAACATCTAAATGTGTGACAGCCAGGAATGTGAAATGTGACCTTCACTCTGTGCTTTGAGCACAGACATGTTGTCGACTCTACTGCTAGTACAACACAATAAACACGGATAAATTGAGCTGTGTTTGCCGTGAATGTCAGGCCATTCTTCTATTTCTCATATCCAAATCTATTACCTTCTTTTATTTACACTATGGACGTTCTATTACCTCTGCACTACTTCTGTCCTTCCATTATTATCCTTCCTCCAACTCATCACCCATTCTGTGCATTTGCAATCTAATTGCTTTGGGTTTCTGCTTCGAAATAAAAATCTGATAAGTCTAATGAATGTATAAATATTTAAAGTACGCTTAATGCTGGATCTCTGCTGTGTGCTGTTCACACCAGGGTTTATCTATATTATGTAATTTATGATCAAGAATGTAGGACAACAAATTCTCTACAGAAAAAAGGGGAGATGATAGGAGGGAAAAATGGAGAAGAAAAGATAGGGAGAAGGAAAAAAGGATGGGATGGAAAAAACTGCCGAATAGAAGAAAAATAAAAGTGAGAAAAGAGTGACTGAATAAAGCAAGAATAAATATAAGAATGTACCTTCCTACTGTACATAAAAACAAAAGGGTTACCAGAAACATAGAAGGAATACATAATAGGGACATAAAAGATAAGAAGGGAGGGAAAGAGGGGGTATAGCAGCAAGGTCAGAATGATGGATGGGAGAAGAGATCTTGCTTTCCCTCTGCCCTCCAGTCACTGCTGCTAAGTAATCAGCTAGCAGGTTATAGACCCAATAAAAAGTCTGCGGAGCTTCTTGTTTGGAGAAATATCTGAGGCAGGTCCCCACAGACTAAACTGTTCTCACTGCAACGCAATTACAGCAGCAGCTGGATCCTGCTCTTGTAGAGGATTGGAAGAGAAGTTCTGTATAAAGAATGATGTGACAAATAGAAGCCAGCTCTTTACAGTAAATGCCTGTAATATCTGTGTTGCCTTCCTTTTTGTTGGTCCTCTTATGATATTCCAGACTGGCGCCCCTGACACATTCAATATGGGGTTTTTTTTATGTAGTTTGGCTGGTGGTGCTTTGATGATTATCTTCTGTAGCTCTGCAGTGGACAAAAATCTAAAATCCTACCTAACTTTGAGAATCAAGTTTGATGACAAGCATTCTCGTATGTCATAACTACAGCCAGGAACATATTACTGCAGATGGTTAACAGCCACATTATCACATGCATGTTTAGTCATGGTCACTCACTTTCAAGATAGTACACTGGTCTGTAAAAGATAGACCATGTGATCAAACTGATTGTGATCCTGCAGTGTAATCTGCTTAATAAAATCAATCTGCATGGAAACAACTGCAATCAGCAACACTCAGTCAGACTTTAAAACACTCTTAGATTATATTCAGATTTGTCTGAATCCGGTTGTAAAAAGCAGGCGTTGTTTGATTTTGACAGCTTCAACTCCCATGGATCAAGATGTGGAGCATTTGAATCCTGAACTGCAACCCCACTATAAGATAATATCTGTCCACGGTGACAGGCCCTAATTTTCAAAGACAGGGGAATCTTGAAAATCAGTCATCATGGTCCAATCAGGATTGTAAAGTGTATTTAAAACGTTATTTTGTTTTAGTTGTCTCAAACTGTTTTGAAAAATCCTGCTCTGTATCATCCAGGGTTGTCTATACGTACATCCATCTATTTTCTAGAAACGCTTAAACTGTTTAGGGTTTCAGGACGCTGGCACCTACTTATGGAGATGTATATATTTTTTTTTTTTTTTTTTGAGGATTCTATCTGGCTCTTTAAATGAATCCCTCCTCAGTCTCAAAGGGGAAAGGTTGTTCTCAGGGTAGCAGCCGGATTGAGGCAGGTGGGCCACTCCTTTCATTATACTGCACTCCCCTAAGGCTCTCTTTATCTCCATCCCTCTGCTGTCTCTTTGCCATCCTCTGCTCTCCATCCCGCTCTCTCATCTCGCCTATCTCATCCTCTTCCTCCTCTCGCTCATCACACCGACTCCTTGTCACAGCATCTTTTTACCTCATTCTCTTTCTCACTGACAGCATCACCTGCACATTTTTACATACAAATATACAAGTGACCACTCTTTCTCTCTCTCTCTTCTCTCTCTCTCTCTCTCTCTCACTCTCTCTCACACACACACACTTACACCCATTCCCTCCTGCTGGCAGAGCAGGGCGATTGCAGGAGCGGCCGCAGCAGCAGCTGCTCTGACACATTCTGGCGTGACAAATACACAAGGAAAAGGCAGGAGGAAAGAAGAAGGAGGAGATAAGGAGGAGGAGGAGGGAGGAGGAGGAGAGGAGGAAGAGAGAGAGAGAGAGAGAGAGAATAGGAGGACACAACTCTGTCTAAAGGACACCGGAGGACAGGAGAAGAAGAGGACAAGGAAGAGGAGAAGGGAAGGAGAGCAGAGGAGACGGCTCTTGCAGCCATGTCAGACACACCTTTGCAGAGGAACGGCACAGCCACAGCACCGTGAGTGGATGTTCTTTATATTTTTTCCATCTTTTCCCTCCTTCTCTCCTCTCCTTGCCCGCATCCCTCCACCTCTCTCTCCTCCATCTGACAGGCTGGGTTGTCATGGGAACGGGAGCTCCGTCATGGTGAGGCTGCTGCTCAGTCATGACTGGCGAGGAGACACACGCCGTACACCGTGTACACTCCTCCCTCTCCTCTCCTCTCCTCTCTCTGCCTCTCTTTTCTTCACTCACCCTCACACTCTCTCTACAAACCTTTCACCTCAGCGCACATCAGCCCTTCATCGCTTTGCTCTCTTGCACTGTTTTCCTCTTTCTATTACTGGCTACTGTCTTATACTTGTCCTTTTCCTCCCTGCCCTCCTTCTTCTTTATCTTATTCAACATCCCATGTCCCTGGATATGTGTGAATGTGCATGAATGTGTGTGTGTGTGTGTGTGTGAGATGTGGCATGTTTTAGCACGGTCAATGTGGAGACTGCAGGCTTGGTCCAGCCTCTGTGTGTCAGCACAGTCCGCCATGCTGCAGACCCCTTCTTCCTGTGTGTAATTTGTATGTCTGTGCCTGAAAATGAAAATCAACCTTAAAAAAATAATAATAATAAAACACAAAGAAACTTGTATTTGCATTGATGACTAATACACCGGTGGTCGTAAAATCACAGCCAGAAAAATATTAAGCAAACACTGGCAATGTGTTAAGAATCGTGTAACACTGGTAGCTTTTTGGGATTGCTGTTCGAATGCTGACTGTCAGGTCTTTGATGACGTGTCCCACAAGTACTAGAGATGTGCAACATCAGCAGAATTTCAAGTCCGACCTGTCAGCTGCATTCCCAGACAAAAATAGATTTTTACATATTTGAAAGGCACAAAAGAGACAAAATATAAGAAAATAACAAAAAATAGCCAGATATTTTACAGTAAAGTGACATTCAAAGAGGTACTGTCCTAAACATTTTCAGATAAATTATGTTTGTAAATGTGAAATGACAAGACATAAGTTATAGAATATAACTTAGATATTTTCTTTGATTGGAGGAAGTACCATAAATGGTGTTACATAGTTGGCCTGTTACTTTAAGAGAGAGCTGCATTATGGGTGGTTTGTAGCCTTGTTGCTAGGCTAACCGTTCACCCTGGTCTGTTTACCTTCAGGGAAGTCATGTGATGTAGTTTAGGTAGTGGTGGACTAATGGGTCGAACACAGGACTTCCACCGAGACCAAAAGTCTAATTAGTATAAAATAATTTCAGTTTTCATTCGCAGTTTGGTTAGATTTAGGCAACAGAACTACTCTAGGAAAAGGAAAACGTATTGGTTTAGGAAAAAGGTAATGGTTTTGGTTAATGGACCTTTTCACAACTAAAGGCTTTCAGGTAGAAACAAACAGCAGAAACTTCTTACATCTGCGTTTTTTTTTCCCGCGCATCGAACCTTTTCGCTTTTTGGAGTTAGCTAACTGCTAGCTAAAAGTCAGTAACCCACTTACTGAACACACGTTTTCATGCTAGCTCCTGTTAGCACAGAGTTAATAAACATAGAGAGTGGAAACGAGCGGGAAGTGGCTTATCAGCGTCTTTGCCACAGAATGAGCAGAAATGGGTAAAGCGACATAAGGTAACACAGCAAGGTGTCCCCAATGTAGCCAGCCTCATATGACAGCCTGCTAACAGTAACAGCGACGCTTACCGTGGTCCCAGAATTCACCTCGGCCAAGTGCAGGAGAGTAGCAAACAACATGCCTGAAACACCAAATGAAGAAAGACGGCACAAAGGTAAGATTATGTATTTATTTATTTTTCATGCTAGCTAGTCAAACTTTACCTGGAAAGAAAGCTTAATGGCTAAGTTGAAGACTAACAGATGAGTTCAGTAAATGTAGCTTGACTAAACCTTCCTCAACTCCAGAGCAGAGAAGGCCAAATACACTAATGAATGTAGTTAAATGTAGACAGTGCCATGGTAAAATGGGAGAGTTATAAGGGCAAACGCTTGGTAAATCATGAAGACAGATGAGTTCCTCCTGAGTCTCAATGTGATGAACAATGAAAGTCTGCAAAAATGATTTCTGTTGCACCTGAACGTGCTGCGATCAGCTGCTATATGAATTGGTGTGGAGAGAAGTAGTGACAGTGATACTGTAGTGAGTAGGAGTTGTTCTTTAACAGTCAAAGCTTTGTGGGTGTACTGTGTTGTATTCTACTGTAGCTACTTTTGGTGGAGAGATTCATATGGCTGCTGAAAAACAAAATTCAGAAATTCGTGACTAATTACTTTTCTTTTAAATAGTACTGAGGTGCTCATGACGGATTTGGCTTTGAAACCAGAAAGGCTAATGTGTATAAGATACAGTAGAGTCTTATGCACCTCCAGGTCTGATGAGACATGTCACTATGCATCTTAATCTCATGCAGCTTGCTCTCCAGCTAATCTTCTGTCTGTTTTGGGGACTTGAATATGTTATTTTTGTTATTCGGTGCATGCACATTGTATATCACGGATGATTCAGCTCTTTGCTGTGTCCTTGTGGTTTAATTTCTAAAAAACGCTGTCAGTGCTGCAGATTAGGGGATGCTGAGCGGTTAGCTGGTTTGAGTGATAACCAACTTCTTATATTGCGGCTCAATCAGCTGTCCACAGCCAGTTTGAGTGACAGGTCAGAGTGATTTTTGCATCCTGTGTCAGAGCCGCACCCATGGAGCAGGCAGGGAAAGTACAGTGAAGCATGAAGCAGACATGCTTTGCTGGTGCATCAATAGTTAATGTTCTAATTGGGAAAATGAGACAGTGCTGTCATGATTCAGTCTATCACATCACATCCTCGGTTTTCCTCTGTGCCGTAGGCTCATTTTTAATCACCAGATACTCCGTACTCTCACTGGGTTGTCCACTGATTCAGCAGAAAGACGAGGTAGTAGTTGTGGTCATGTAGAGTGCAGACACCACAATGGCAGATGGCCCATTCTCTGTTGCTATTTATTGCACACTCAGGGAAGTCTTACAGGGAAGAGACTCTTAATAGTGGTGGGATGAATTGAGCATATACACTTACCAACCCAGCAGCCCAGAGAGAGCACCAAATTAACCACCACATTTGTATTTTTGCAGTTACTGTGTTTATGTTCATCAAAAGTATAAAGTTGAATTTAAGTTAAATCAAAAGTATGGTTTAAAATATGGACATTGTTTGACCAAAAATACAAAACATTTGTTGACCAAAACAAGCAGTTTGCAATTGTGAAGAGCAGGTTTCATTATTTTTGTACATAGACTAAATGATTAATCAGTTAATCAAAAAATAATCAACAGACTGATTGATAATGAAAATAATTGTTAGTTGCAGCCTTTAATCAAAGCTCTCCTGTGTATATGTGACCCTGCAACTTCAACTTCATGTGTAGCCCATTCATAGAGCACAATTTCATACAAATGCAGTTTAAAGTGCTTTTCAGAAAAATTACATCAAATGTAAAACACAGATATACAAAGAAATAAGATGAACCAAATACCCATTCACTCAAATGATCCATTTCACTTTTTTTTTTAGGTATGTATGGTTATTGTTTTTCTCTCTCATCCCTCTCCATGAATCATGGACACTGGATAAGAGGAGACATGCAAACTGCAGAGCAGAGGAAAAAATATAATGGCATAAAGAGAAAGAGGGAGCAGAACATGCTGAGGTGGCGATAATCTGAGTGTCTGGAGGCCAAGACATCTGCCTCTCCTCTGAAATGCACTGCAGTACAAAAACGATTAAGAGCTACTTTATAGAATAAAAAATATCCATGTGTTAATATGCATGAACATGGATGCGAGTTCTTCTCTCTTCCCTAAGAGACAATACACTGAACAGATAGTACAATAAAGGCTAATTCATACTGTGTACCACCTAAATTGCCATTCATACTGGGTTAATGACTTATTTTGTTATCAGTTCTTACAATTGCGGGCAACATGAGAGGCCCTGCTTAGCTGTCCTGAGCTAGTTTAAGTTTTTTTTTTTACAGGCAAAGCATAGATTGGTCACTGCTTTGATGTTACTTTTCATCAAGTTGTTTGCGGTAATTGAAACCAAACACTAAAAATGATCTAGAGATTTCTATCGGCTTTGAAAAGTCCTAGTCTAAACAGTAAAATTAAAATTGATGGCTTTGGCCTTGCATGGCTGTAGCAGACAGAGTCGTATCAGTTAGTCAAACCAGGGAGAGTTGGTATCTGATTAGTTGCTGAAAGCCTGTGACTTCCAAAAGTTCAGCTATCACCAACTCTCCTCGCCTGCACTCGTCTAGACACTTTCGCAGTGGAAAAATAAACATACTTAGCGGTGACAAGGACAGCAGTGCTCAGGGAATTGGTCATATTATACTGAGGGGAAGGGATAAGGAATAAGGAGGGGAAAGAATTTCAGATTTTTAAATACAGTTTAATAGTTTTTAGTTAAACTGCATCTGCAGACAGACAGACAGACAGACAGACAGTCTGACCTTCCTCAGTGATGTATAAAATATGAATGAGATCAAGGTCTGGCACTCCCATAGGCAGAAATATGTCTGTTTGGGTTGTTTTTTCTCTTCCCCCCACCATCTCTCTCTCTCTCTCTCTCTCTCTCTCTCTCTCTCTCTCTCTCTCTCTCTCTCTCTCTCTCTCCCACACACACACACACAAACATATATACATATGTACCATGTCTGCAGCAGAAGAGACCAGTCTGTACCACATGTATGGCTCTATCTCGGTTTGCAGTTATTTTGGGGAGAATTGAAATGTGGGAGTACGAAGCTCAGGAAGGGCAGGCAAATGAGATTGCATTAACACAACATAACACAACATAACACACACACAGGTACACAACACAAATGCACATTTTATCTGACTTATTTTCTTTGTCCATATTTGCTCATTCCCTCTGCCTCCCACTCATGTTGTTATATTTCTCTGTGTGTGTGTGTGTGTGTGTGTGTGTGTGTGTGTGTGTTTTCCTGCCTCTGGTTCCACATCTGGAGGCCATTACCTCTGGGCTGGGATGGGAGGGAGGCGGGGCTGGGCTGGCTGTGCAGTGAGGTCATCGCATCGTCGTGGCGATGCAGATGAACAATGATGCTGTTGTCTCCGACAACGACCAACCAGTGTAGCTGACGCCAGAATTAAAGGACTGAAGGGGCGATGGGAGAGTTAAAAAGTTCGGGGAGAAAAGTAGGGTAGAAAGGAAATAAAAATAGAAAATGTTATAAAGAAGTAGAATAATGTTAAAGTAAGGAGGTATGATTTGTAATGACAGTGTGAGCAGCCAACATGATGAGGTGATTGGTGCAAATCCAGGTCAAACAGAGACTCTCAGAGAGAAGTTTTCGACTGCTGCTGGCTGTAAAGTCAGACAGCTCCAGAGCTGAGCCTGGTTTCATAACATAAACTAAAACCCGAAACAGGTCGTGGTCTGCACGTGTCCACATTAAAGACGTAGCAATATGTTTTAATGAGGGCGGGTCCCGGGGTGAAACAGTACTGTTTTTATTTTAGTATATTGATGGTGAACCTCAAGGAAGCCTTTAAGTGTGTTAAAATTGTGCTGTAGATTTTATCCAACAAAATGTGTAGACAAAGAATGAAAACCGTCATTCTCAATCACAGTCGCATGCATGCAAAATGTTAGCATCATAACAACAACTTTTAGCTTAGAAATTCCAGTATGCGCTAGTACTATAACTATTACACCAGACATACACATCGTGCAGACATGAAGCATTGAATTACCATTGATTAGATATTGGATCTCTTGCCACCTGATGTTCCTGAGCTCCTTTTAGCTCTGTTTTGGTCTCCTGAGGGAAATAGCTGCTTTTGAATGCTCCACATGTTCACTGCCTATTTGATAACATTGTGTGTCTGCTGTTTGGTGCTGGGCTGGTAGTGTACAGTGGGTCTATCAGAGCTTTTTCACTGAAACAGCTGCTTGCTGTGTCAGCTCTATGAGAGCAATGAGAGTGAAGCAAAACAGAAAAGTTGTGGTCTTTTTACAGCCCAATCCCAAGGACAAATAATCAGGACCTAAACCCAACAATCTACATTCTCCTTACAACATATAAACTGTTAAAGACTGGACTAGATTAGACTATAATAATAATAATAATAAAATAGTCTCATAGTATATAACTTTTTTAAGCTTTCTTAAAAACTGTGTTACAGTACAGTGTTTTTCTCAGAATTAAACTGCTGAATGAACCACATTTGCCCGTCAAGGTTTTGTAAAGTTTATAAAGTTTAACAAAAACTTGGCATTAAATAATAACAAACGAAACAAAAAATATGTTGTATGTTCTACTCTTAAATTAGAAGATCATAAACTGCAGAATTTATGTAAAAACTTTTGATGAAGGGCTTTGCACCTGTTGCAAACTATAATGTAAATAAATTATTTGTTTATTATTTATTATTATTATTATATACATATAATATATAATATAATACACTTAAAAATAAAAAAAAGAATAATACAAAAATACAAAAACATTGTATTTGTAAAAAATAGAAATAGGTACTTTAAGAAGTCCTTTTTTCTTGTAAAACAAAACTGAAAAGAAGAGAAGGAAGAAGAAGGGAAGATTGCAGCAGATAAAAATGTCAGCACTCCTGAACTGCTGAATCTGCAAGAGACCTGTCTTTGTGCGTTAGTTTGCAGTAGATATTATAACACCTTCAAGCCACCGTATATGGTTCACTTGACTTTTAACAGCCCCCTAACACCTCTCAACATCAAAATCCCAGAGAACCTTAAATGTTTAACAGTCCACATGCAAATAAGGAAGCTATAGCTGAGGGCTGGATAAGTGTCATTGCTGATTTATTCTAAGTCTTGCAGCTGCCCAGTGGCTTTACAGGACAGATACTCTCCAGCTGCACTTATTTATTATCCATTTTTCCCTTGGAGTAACGCAGTGGCTGTTATGTCAGTGTGTGTTTGTATGAGTGTGTGTGTGTGTTGCATGCTTCTGTATTCCCTAAAGACTCGGCCAGGACTGCTGCTGCTGTTTCTCCTTATAAGGATGTCTGCTTGTGGAAGAGAGGGATGGAGAAAAGGAAGAGAGAGAAGGATGGGAGGGGGGATCAAGGGAGAGCTGAGTAACAAAAAGTATGTCGAAGAAATTGATAGACGATAGACAGGTGGGAGATGATAAGGAATGGGGGGGTGGGGGGGGCATGAAGAGAGGATGAGGGGATTAAGAGGAAGAGTAGGAAGTAAAGGGATCAGGAGAGAGACAAGGATGGATGGAGAGAGAAAGGAAAGAAGGCAGAGAGGGTTGCAGGGGTGAGGGTTGGAAGGGAAAGAAGACAGAAGAAGAAAAGAGGGATGGAGGGCAGAGATGTACCATGGGGAGGTTATATGGAGGGAGGGATGTAGCAAAGTAGTGGGAAAGAGAGGAAGAAAGAAAGGAGTTAGGAGAAAGTGTGGGACATGGGAAAGGAGGATTTAATATAGAGAACAGCAGGAGTGCAGCAAAGGAAAAAACAAGAGAAAAAGAGTGAGGGATGTAAGGAAGGATGGAGGAAAGAACAGAGGAACATTGTTGTGGTTGTTGGAAAAGAGAGGAGGAAAAAGAGGAGGGAAGTAAGAAAATAAAGTGAAAGTTAAGAAAGAGAGGAGACAGAGGAAGAATGGATGAAACCCAGGTGAACCTAGAGAGTTAAAATTAGGACACAGGTAACGGTGACCCATTTACACAAACCCTGCTTTTTGTCTATGTGTGTATTTGAGTGTGTATGAAGGTGTGTCGTGCCTTTTGAGGCGATTTGCAGTTTGTACTTTTTAAGATGTTCCACTGATGTTCTTCTACACTCAATCAATTCATGAAGGGACACAATTATCTGTTTTCTTTCTCTCCTGTTCCTGTTTTTCTAAAGTGGGAGGCTTCTTTTGATGTCACTTTGAAAGGCACTGGAATAAACATATGACCAGAGTGACCAGAAATAGATTCTGAAGAGTCAGCCGTAGGATTGTTTGTGTGTGGGCAACATTGGCGCATGTGGTCTCACAGAATTGTATTAAAACGATGAGAATATTTTAACATGCAGTATTGCAGGTTTTGGCACTTTGTCTCTCTTTGGAAAGTGAGAGAAATATATTGCATGACCTTTATCATGAGAAAAGTGTGTGTGTCTGTTTTCAGCGTATAGTGCGGTGGTGGCCTGTGAAGTTAGCAGAAATAGCACATAGTTGCGGCAATAGCTCTAATAGCAGCAGCAATTCTTTAAACTACATAATATGGGTGCAGGCTAGGATGGTGGAAGGTGTGTATCATGTCATAATGCAATGTAGTAAGTAGGTACAGTTTCTTTCTCAAGTTTAAATTTATAATTTCCTGCTATTAAGATAAAACTAAATTCATTTAAACGCACAATAATGAATTTCTGCTGCTGGAGAAACGCACCATAAACTAAACTAAACTAAAATGACAGATATCTCTAGGTTTGAACATTGTTGGAAACATTTGGGATAATGTGAGTGCACAACTCAACAAAATATATAACATAGGTCTAGTATTTATACACATCCTAATGTGGAAATGTTACATATTATGTCTTTAATAAAGTTCTCTTGGATCTATTTTTGTAATTCTTACCTTACATACAGAGGTGTTTTAGTAGACTGCTTCTTTAAACACAAACCTGAGCGATCAATGTTTGTGATGGTAGAGATTTTGATCTATGAAAAGATAGATTAAAAGATTTATTTCAGTAATTAGCCTGAATGAAACGGGCTGGCAGTATGATTGAAAAATGTCTGATTTAGTCTGTTCCATTTCCCATTGTCTCTTAGCTTTCAAATATGACAAATTACTCCTCTGCTTCTCTTGTCCTTACTTCTGCAATTTTATTTTGCTCTTCCTCCCCCTCTCTCTCTCTCTCTCTCTCTCTCTCTCATTCCCCCCCCATCATGCCATCACTTCTCTTTCCCTCCCCTTCCCTCTTCCCTCTCTCAGCTGCTCCTCCCAGCTGTTTAATCACACATGGCTCATGCCTAAAAAAGAGAGAGAGAGGGAGGGAAGGAGGGGACAAATGGGAGGAGAGACAGAGCGCAAAAGAAAGAGTGGGTGAGAGAGAGACGGAGGGAAAATGCGAGCAGCGGGCTGAGTGTGAGGCACATGGCCAGTGAATGAGAGACCTTTGCTTCCTCTCAGTGCGAGCTCCTTCTCCCCACAGTCTCCTCTCTCTGGTTGGATTACTGCTGAGGAAGGACCTCGTCTGGATACTCCTCTTCTCCTCCTTTTCCCTCTCTATTTCTTTACCTCTCGCTGAGGGACTCCAGCTCTCTTGTATTCCCAGATCTCACGTCTCTCTTTCTCCTTTCAACCCCCCTCTCCCTGCTCCCCCCCCCCCCCCCAGGATGTCGTGTGAGGAGGCTCAGCTCCACAAAGAGAGGCTGCAGGCCTTGGCGGTAAGTCGGAGTGTGTTTTAAACTATTTTCTTTTTCTTAATTTGACCTTCTGTCTGTTTGTTTTGCTGTCTGTTTGTCTGTCAGTGACTTACATGGCCAACCCCCGTCTCACCTTGACTCTATCCCTTTCTGTCATTCGCAGTACAATATCTCGCCTAACTGTCTGGCACCTCAGAGTTGTTGCAACTCCAGTCTGTCTGACTCTTTCTTTCATTAGTTCCCCCTCTCTCTCTCTCTCTCTCTCTCTCTCTCTCTCTCTCTCTCTCTCTCTCTCTCTCTCTCTCTCTCTCTCTCATGCTCTTGTCACATTATTCATTCATGTTCCATTCACGTTAGTTCAAACACATGTAGAGGGGCGGGAAAAAGTGTCTGCAACAGTTTTTGTCTCTTTGCCCCATACCAAAGTTCATGTTTATTGAACTCTGACCGATCTGTACGGCGTAAATACAACGGTAGAGGTGCAAAAAAAAGCTCGGTGACCCGTTGGGTGAGACTTAAACTGATCATGAGCAGTGATCTGACCTGCTGTATTATAATGTTTCTTAAGCCAATTACCTTTTATGAACTTACAACATATGGACCTAAACAGAAGATCAATTGGCCCCATTACAACTGACATCCAGTGTGCAATTTGTCTTTCTGCGTTTCACATTCTTCAAGTCAGCTAACGCTCGCCCACCTTAGCTTCTATGGCGGGAAGCTAAATGCAGACAAAAGCTAAAATAAACATTGTTTAATGTCACTTTTTATAATCTTGTCATATTGCTTTTTGGTCGGTTACATTAACATTGAATAAGCTTATTAATGTGAGAGCTCTACAGCATGACATCATAGCCTCCTACACCCATTTTCGTCACAGAAAACAAAGTGATTTTTGTTGCACCCATTGTAGTGCGCTTTACTGCTCCACTAGCCTTCTGTCCTCCGCTGCTGCTGTGTTTGTCTTTCTGTTCGTGCCAGCTTTCATCTTATTCCATGTCTTTTTTTTTATTTGGGGGGGCAACTCTGAGGAAAGTTGGTGGAAAATCAGTTCTTTCCGTTTTTTTCTTCTCGGCCAGATGTCTGAGGTTTTTAGGTGTATGTGCTTGCCAAGGTAGAAGGATCTCAGCCCGTGAGGTGGTCTCGAACATGTTTCGATACTCGCCGTTATGTTTCATGATCACCGAGGCATCTGTTGGAGTGTTTGGCTTCGGGGCTGGTAGGACTTCAGAGCAACAGTTAGACCCGGATTCACTGCCCGGGACTAAATTTGGCGCCAGCTAGGAACCACAGCATACCACACACACACACACACACACACACACACACACACACACACACACACACACACACACGCACAGAGGCACAGGAACACACACGTACACGCATTCATACACACAAGTGGTGGAACAGCGGCAGATGGAGAAACTATTTTGGCCACGTTGATCATGGCAGCCGTACCAGGCTGCATGTACTTTAACCATTCAGGCACTTAAGTGAAGCGAGAGTGGAAAGTTCTCACGATTTTGTAGAGAGGAACAAGCATGTCTGTGTCTTGCATCATTCTTGCATGTGTACTTGGCGAAACACTACAAAATCATTGATTATGTGTAAGTGAGTTTTGGTTTGGTGCACCAGGCCAAGAAAAACTGCAATATTCTGGTGGCAACCGTTGTGAACAGTACAAAGAACGCTCAATCTAGTGTAATTCTTCCCTGAAGTGCTATCAGAGATCCTTCTGTAAGTGCCAAGAGCTTTGACATACATTTAAAGTAAGGTCAGCCGTTGACTAGAAGCAAATCATTTGAGCCTATTTGTCTCCTCCAAATAAGCATCTGTCTTGTCTCAACTCTATGTGTGCACTATATCAAAGACAATAACAGCACTAATAGCTTTCAAGCCCTACCAGGCACTTAAATAGAGAAGGGTTACTATTACACTAATAGTACTAACAACTCTCTCAGGCAGCTAAGCACTCTGTAAGCCACAGACTCTGCCAGCCAACGCAGGTCCAGTGTAAATACAGTAGCTCGACAAAGTTTCCCAGAGTATCTCAAAGGGAATGGGAACGGGGTTATAAAACCTCTTCTGACTGTCAATCAAAAAACACTCGATCAGAATAATATAAACTGCCCCAACACTAAATTTGATTGCTCATTGGTGCTAAAACTAGAGCATATTGTCTTCAACAAGGATGAATCCGTCTGACTGACTTTCTGAAAAAGCATTACTTAAACCCCTGCAGAGGGGTGTACATACACACACCCACACACTGTCTCCGGTCTGCAGCTGACATGCTAATGATTTCATCAATAATTGATAGTCTGAGATTTCATTGTCATCACCATCAGTGTCTGACTTCATCAATACTTTAGCAGATCTCGAGCCAAATTGGAAGCTTCCTCTAAAATCAGAGCCAAGGGTTAGACCAGCCGTGTCTGTCTGAGCCGCCAGAACACACCGAGTCCGACACCAACTGTAAATAACATGTCACATGGACTTCAAGTGGGCCAAAAAAAAGGTAGCAGACAGCTGTCATTATAATGGCTCATGAATAAAGCATGGCACTTAATGGCTGTGAATTACTAGCCCTCTTTTTTGAAAGGACAAGATTCAAGATTCAAGACGCTTTATTTATCCCGAGGGAAATTACTGTGCAACAGTTTCAATACAAAGGTGGTACATACCTATCTGCTTGATCACAGCAGCAGTTTGACTGAGACAGTGTAGAGAGAATTTACAGGATTGGACCAAGGCATTTTAGTCTTCTCTACAATGGCTCAAAACTGGAATAACTTAATTTCATGTTTGATTTGTGAAAATGGCCCAAAAATAAAATCTGATTATTTTCAAGCTTAGGGGCATTTCATGATATTAATACATACATTATTTTGCACAAATGCTAAAAGATGAAAACATGATGTATATTTCTATGGTCCCGATGCAACTGTTTCCAGAAATATGACTTTAGACAGGTGTTCATGTATGTATGTATATTTTTTTTTTTGAGAAAAATTAAAAAAAAAAATTTTTTAAAAAAAAAAAAAATTAATTGTCATAATTTGTCAACCAGCTCTATAAAGATCACATACTGCAAGCACATATGCCTGTTTGTCTTATGATTTCATTCCTATATATAACATTTTCCTCTTAGTGCTTTCATATTTCTTGTTAATTATTGAAGGACCAAGAAAGGAATGAACATGGCATCTTTCTGCTCCTGCACAATTTATTTTCAGTAGTTTTACTGCTGCATCTCTTCCCCCATCATAACATGTGTTAAACTTAGCTAAACTACATTTAACATTGCTAAGATGGCTCTTTTTTAAGTTCTGTCACAGTTAGTGCTATCCAAACTGGAAAAAAATGCAGTACTGATTGGTTTGTTTTTTACATAATAAGATTTCTTAAAGCGTTAATCATTCGGTGCAACAAGGAGCGGGACATTTACTGGTGTCTAATCTAAGAGTTAAGTAGTCAACTGCCTCGTTTGTTTGATCCTCACAGTCTGATAGTGATTACGGCCTGTCAACTGCCAGCGGTACAGGTTGCCATGGTTTCTAATTGGTCAGATTAGGGAACAGTTGTGATGTCATGTTGTTAAATCCAGACCTGTAATTGGTATATTATTAACATGTAATTATAGCAGTCGGATGGAGTACAGCCTGGTCAGGGTTCGTTAAAAAACTGATTACGTGTGTGTGTGTGTGTGTGTGTGTGTGTGTGCATATGTATGTCTGTGTGTTGTCGTTTTTTTTCCGAAATTCGTGTGTGTTCACCAAAACCCTGCGTGTGGTTTTGAGATCAGCCAATGAATGATGAGCGCTTCATCTTTCTAATTAGCTGTTCCCCATGCGGCCTGCCAACCGCAAACGGCGTGGCAGAATGCATGTACGTCTGCGTGTATCTTTGCATGCACTCATTCATTCAACTTCTCTGTAGTGTCTGTGATATGTTTACACAGATGACCTCAGCCCTTTGGACTCTCAGCTGCCCCCTGACACACATACACACACACACACTCAAACACACAGATCGTCTGGGGCCAAGTCTAAGGGGAATTAGGAAGTGGTGCGTGAGGAGTGAGATGATGATGATGGTGGTGGTGAGTGTGTTTGTGGAAAGAGACAGAGAATGAGGAGCTGCTGGCACTGAGAACAAGACACTGTCGGGGACCAGAGATATTTCATTGCAAAAAGATCTGCTCAAACTATAAATCTATGTGCCTGCTATCTTTCTTTCTGCTTTATGATTTTTCTAAACAATCCTGCGAGACTAGTATGCAGTTATGAATTATTTTATTTCCTGGATTCGACCACAGGTTGTTGATCTCATTGGATGAGTTGTGTGCAGTAATCTCTGTAGCTCGGGGTCATTCTGGAAGCTGGTCAGTGTTCTGGATCCACTTAGTGAGGTCTAACGGAGGGAAGTGAGTGGGGCAGGGTGAAGGTGAGGGGGATGCTGTAGCTATAGACCTTGGCATGTACTGAGATTTGTGACTGTGGTATGAAAGTTGGAGGGCCGGGCTAATGGGCTGCGTTAAGAGAGTAAATAGAGTAGGGGGCTGGGCTGCCTGCAGGCATAGTTTCGGTTTGTGCAGTTTACTTATAGATTGACAGCAATGAACCCTTGAAAACAACTTGGAAAATATTTAGTGAGGTTTCCAAAATGCAGTGTTTTCTCACAACTATGGGTTACTTCCTAACTGTAGGCTGTGATCACACATTTCTAACACACTTATACATTTTTCTGTTACTTTAAGTTGCTTTTCCACTGCACTTATATCTGAATCATGGGTTCAGGTTTAATGGCACTGCCTTGTGCTCCAAGCCAAACATACCTGTTACTTGACTGTTACTGTGAGCACACACACTGCTAATATAAAACATTCCAAACATTGTGAAGGTCTTGAAGCAAAGGAACAGTTCTTACAGTTTTCTACTCTTTGTTACAAATTAGCCTTAAATTTCCTGTCGTTTGCTTTAATTTGCAGCTATTTTACCTTTAACTAGAATAGGTAA